AAAACGCACAACGCCCCCCTACCCCCGCCCCACCCCACGATTCCTCTCTATCAACACGCCCCAACGCTCCCCTCACCCGCCCCCCCCCTGGGCCCCGAACATCCATGGATACAGGGCCCCCAGATTGCCTCTGTCTTGGGACCGTCCAACCCCACCGATTCCTCTCCCAAAAACCTAAACGCCCCCTCCCCGCCCCCCACCTGGCCCCGTCAGCCCCACCACCGATCCAGATTGGCCTCTGTTCTTGGACCGCCCCACCCCACCCACCCCCCACATTCCTCTCCCAAAAACGCACAACGCCCCCCTCCCCGCTCCCCACCTGGCCCCGACATCCCCACCCCAGATTGCCTCTGTTCTTGGGACCCCCCACACCACGATTCCTCTCCCCAAACACCCAACGCCCCCCTCACCGAACCCCACCTGGCCTCGACACCCCCACCCCAGGTTGCCTCTGTTCTTGGGACACCACACCCCACGATTCCTCGTCCAACAACGACCGACGCCCCCTTTCCCGCCCCCCCACCTGGCCCGACACACCCCACGCAGGTAGTCGTTCTTTGGAAACGCCCTACCGCACGATTCCTTTTTCCCCAACAAAACAAACCAACGCCCCGCTTCCCCGCCCCCCCACCTGCCCGGACCCCCTCCGCCCAGGTAACCTCTGTTTTCTCGCGACCCTCCACCCCACGATTTCCCCCCCACACCTGGCCCCGACCCCCACCACCCACGATAATGTCTGTCCACTGATACGCCCCCCCGATTCCCTCTGTATCACACGCGCACGACACACGACCAACGCCCCCCTCCCCACCTCCCACCTGGCCCCCACACCCCCATCCCAGCTACACTCTGTTCTTGGGACCTCCCACCCACGACTCCTCCGCCAAAACCGCCCCCCCCCTCCTCGCCCCCCCCTTGACCCCGACACCCACAACTCAGGTAGCCTTCCGAGCCCAAAACCTACCAACTCCCCCCTCCCCGCCCCCCACCTCGCCGCGACCCCCATCACCCCTGGTAGCCTCTCTTCTCGAGACCCCCCACCCCACGCTTCCTCGCCCCAGAACGCCCAACGCCCCTTTCCCCGCCCCCCACCTGACCCCGACCCCCGCACTCCCCGGAGCCTCTTTTCTTGGGACCCCCCAACCCACGATTCCTCGCGCACCAACGACACCACGATTTCTCTCCAACAAACGACCCACGTCCCTCCCTCTATGCCCCCCTCCACGCCCCGGCACCCCCCTCCCACGGACCTTCAGACGCACGCTTCTCGGGACCCTGCACACCACGGACTCTCGCCCAACAACGACCAAGGCCCCCCCTCCAAGCTTTGCTTTTTTCGGCTGTGGCGACAGCTATCCAGCTTTCCGTATTTTCGTCACCGACGCGAGGCTCCTCTCAGCGACTTCCTTCCGTTTGCGCACTTGGCCAGCACAGCAGCCGTTGCACCTCTGCTTTCCGTCCGCCTTCTGCGTCGTTCGCCCAGCCAACCAGGTGCTGTAGTGCTCCCTCTCGAAAACGCCCTTACATTCCACACATTTCCACTTTCCGCGCTGCAGCTTCGCGCCATCGATGCAGCGCTTGCACTTGCGGTGACGCTCTGCCACGCCCTCCCACATCCACTGCGAAAAGCATTCACGCCGCTGCGCCACCCCGCACGCAACGTAGGCTCTCTCGTCCTTCCTCGCAGCCGTGTCCCTCTGCGCAGCTCCAGCGTCGACGCAGCGCTTGCGCTTCCGGTCACTCGCGGCCACTCCATCCCACATCTTCGGTGAAAAGAAATCGCGCCGTTGCGCCACCCCGCGCCCAACACAGGTCTTCACGTCTTTGCTCGCCGCCATATTCCGTCGGGCGATTGCAGCGTCCACGCACGTGGTACACGCAATCGACGCTTCCGACGCGTTGACCAACATGTGAGAGGAGAATTCCGCCTTCCTCTTCGCCTCTCCACATTCTGAGCATACCACTCGCTTCGCTTCTTCGGCGCGCGCCTTCTCCTCCTTTCTCTGCGACTTCTTACGCGACTTGCATGTCGGTTCGTCCTGGCACTGCTCCGCTTTAGAAAATTCGACACGCAACTGCTCCTGGCCGCAGCGCGAACACTTCAGGTGTCTCTTGGGCTCCTCGCACTCGAGGCACATTCCTCCTTTACATCGGGCGTTCCCTGCCTTCACCCACTGCAGATCCACGAACGCATCCTCGTACTTCCGCACCTCGCATACGTAACACTTCCGCCTCTCAGGACAGTCCACGCAACGCCGTGACGTCAGCTTCGAGCAGTGGTGCTGGGACGTGTGGAAAGCATCCTGACCCTTCCACAGATAACACTCCATGCACTGCCACGGCGTGCCAATGCTCTTTTTGCCTTCCAAGCACAGTGTGCACACACGGAGACCGTCTTCCCGGCTCCACTGCCCGATCGCATACTGGTTCTTGTACTTCACCGACGCGCGCAGCGCGCACTTCCCTGCAGGCATGAACTCCTTCTCGATTGCATCCCAATCCATGGGATCCCCCCGCAACGACTGCAAGAGTAATCCGGGCCCCTTCCGCTCCTTCTGAGTGCGCGGCGCGCGGTCGAAAGGCCGAAATATCAGCATGTCCTCGCGGCGACGCACGCGCGTCAGAGCAACATAGCTCGACAACGGCGACGTGCCCCCGCCAATCCTCAGATCCACGATGACACCTTGCTTGAAGGTCTGGCCCTGTGCTGAGTGGGCGGTCACTCCAAACGCAGGTGCCAAGGGAAACTGCCGCCGCTTCACTTTCAGACGCGGATACGGCCGGCCCTTGTCCACGAACCACTCTTTCCTCTGCGGGCTCACTGGGTACAGGCCTGGCGTCTTCAGTCCCTCTATCGTCCACTTGCATGGAATAACGTTCCCTGCATCATCGAGACCCTCGTCGAAAAGGACAAATATCACTTTCGGCGTCTTCTGCAAAATGGTCTCCCCTCCCCGAGAGACGCGGCCCGCTCCTTCCTCGCCATCGCACACCCATGAGTGCACTGTCCCCACGCGTCCGCGGAACGGGTACTTGTCCTCGCTGCGATCGATATGATCGGTGAGGGCCACGGGCATTCCCTCCGCGATTCACAAAACCCATACAGGTCCCCGCTCTCCTTGTCGTGGCGCTGCAGCCAGGCCATCTTTTGGCGCGGCAGATCTGGCCGCTCTCGCAGCGCATCATGCGTCGGAGTGTCGCGCGCAGGGATGTACACCATCGGCTTCTCGTGCAGTCGGGCGTACTGCGATGCTCGGAGCTTGTTCACCTCTGACAGGACATCTCTGAGCCCAAAAAGGGAAGATCTAGGGCGACAATGGCTGAACCACCTCAGGTGTGGGCTTCCCCGAAGAGACAATCGCGAAATCCAAACGAACAACCAAGAGGCTTCATACCGAAAACCTAGGCACAGTGGCGGGAAGGATACTCGGTGAAGAAGAGACGAAAGTGCAACTGAGAATCATGAGTCAGGCTCATGCCTGGATGTCTCATATTAACCCCTTTTCTGCCGTACTCCGATAAGCACCCCGACAACAAACGAATCAAACGTACGTCGATCACTTGGGGTCGGCGGCAGAGGCGGCAGCCTTTAAATAGGAATGCAACTCGCTGCCCGCGGGCAGACCAGGTGGAAGGCACACCCACCGACAGCCAGAAAGATGGATTGCTGGTGTCGCCCCGGTTCCCTAACCTGCGGGGTGCTCGTGAGGGTGCTCATCGAAAGTGCAATAATCGCACTATCTTACCAGCGCCCCGTGCGTCCCTCACAAGCACGAGCCCCACAAGCTGCGGGAACCTTCGGCACGGGGGGAGGAGGAGGAGGAGGATGAGGAGGGCGACGACGAGGGAGGCTGGGCTCGGGGCCGCCTGCGGCCATCGCCCCGCGGCACGGCCGGAGCGGGGGGGTCGGGGGCCCCTGGCCTGAGCCCACGGGAGCAGCGCCGCGGCGGCGGCGGCTGCGGCAGACCCGCGGCGCGGGTTCCGCACGGCTGTCGTCGCCGTCGTCGTCGTCTCATGTCCGTCGTCGTCGCCGTCGCCGTCGCTGTCGCCGTCGCCGTCGCCGTCGCCGTCGTTGGAGTCCTCGTCGTCGTCTGTCGCCGTCGCTGTCGTCGTCGTCAGCTCCGCACGGCCGTCGTCGTCGTCGTCGCCGCCGAACTGGAGAACCCCGTCACCACACAACGACTTGTTGGCTGGATTCAGCGCGTGCACAGTTCAACATGCGTGCTGCTAGCACGGCCCCCTGTGGGGACTCAGGCCCAAAGCGACGTCGATGGTAAGAAACGCAAATGCTCCCAGCATGTGTGGAATAGAAGCGAAGGCTGAGACTTCTTGGACACGCAAGGAACCTTGATTGGGATTGGCGTCGACGCGGCACACAGACCTTCCGCTGTGGCCCAAGCCAGATTGGAATCACTAGAATAACGGTTCCGCCAGCCACCGACTTCGAGATTGCTAAGACTTGGTGGCTCCACGCCACGGCCCGCGCGGCAGATTGAAACAATGCTTCACTAAACTGCGTTCGCTTGCTCGGCCGTGCATCTGGCCGGACGCGTGAGCAAACGCAGGTTACAACGTTGGCAAACGAGCGGGAACCATGACCTGCAAAAGAATAAAGACT